CTCTCTCTCTCTCTCTCTCTCTCTCTCTCTCTCTCTCTCTCTCTCTCCCTCCCTGCTGGTGAGAGGTGTTTGTAAAGGGTCAGTGCTTCTCAGTCAGCTATCAGACACAAGTCATAACAGTCTCACCACAACTTTTGATCAAATCTCCCCACTGCTCGCTCTGCGAGTTCATTCATGGGGAGTGACCTCTCCCAGAGTCCAGCCCACAGCGTTGCTGATGAGAGTCAATTCTTCCGTCAGTCAACTTCTTTGATGGTGTGACTGACCACATCTTTCAACACCAGTAAATCAATTGAAAACAATGCCGTGTGCAGTCACTGCTGATCCCAGTTTGTTCTGTTCAGTGTCGAGCGCCGGTTAGCAAACGTTAGCATGCAAACACGCTAAACCAAGATGGTGAAACCTGCTACAACATTAGCATAGCATTATTGCATCGGGCGCATATTATCTCGTGTTAGCGTTTAGCTCAAAGCACCGCTGTGCATGTGTATGGCATCACAGAGCCGGTGGCGTGGCTGTAATGGCGGAAAATCAGTTGACTTGTACGTTTCCCTCCAAATGTTTGCCCTCACAGTGACAGTTGCCGCCTCATATGTGTTTCCCAACACCGAGCACAGCGCTTTTAGCTCGTTTTCAATATGGACTGCTCAGCCAGTGTTGGATGTAAATTTTGGCCTTGCAAAGTTTATAATTACACTTGGAATTGATAGCTTCTAAATGTTATGATTACACATTAGGAGAACTAACTAGCTGCAGAATGTATAAAAATTTGACAGTTTTGGCATACACACACACACACACAATAACCTAAAAAAAACAAACAAGAAACGCAAAGTGAGGTTGAATTTGTGATGGACTGTGATATACAAAACACAGTAGGACCGTGCTGTCATCTTGGTTCTATTTCCACTCTTCTCCTCTGCTAGTGTTGGGCCTTTTTGCACAGGCGTAAGTGGTTAAATTGCCTCTGTTTCCATGAGGTGTTCACTAATGACAGGTTAGCTAGGCATCTCGGCTGAGTGGGGGTGTTGCTTTGCCAGGAGCTGCAGTGTTGTACCTGACTGCTGGAACACACCGAAACAGACAGGTAGGCTGTCATCATGCTTTCAGGGAGGAGGGGGGGGGAGGTTCTGCAAGAGTTATACTGCAAAAGCAGGACAGAAAATAAAGTAGAGCTTGGACTGAGGGAAGATGTTTGAGTTTATTTCTAAGAGAAACAAAGAATTAAAAACACGTCTCTGTCAACTTCTTCTTTTTTTCTTGCTCCGCACTGATTTGCAGCAGGAGAAGAGAACAATCACACCGCGAGAGGGAAGAGTTCAGCGGGACGAATCCCCCTGTCACCCGGAGCAGGGATGCTTATGGCTTATTGATAACATTATGGCGGCTTTTGCCCCGTGGCATTGCCTTGTTGAAATAATCCCCGCCGGAGGCTCTCGGTGAGAGATACAGACATTTCTTCGGGGTCAGGATATGATTGCATTTGGTGGGGGGGGGGGGGGCTCTCATGAGGTCTCAGCCGAGCTGGAAACAACCGAGTGGCAGCAATCCAGCATCACACTGCACTGCAGCGTTGCACTGTTGTACGTAGTCAACATCTGCTTCAGGGGAACCGGCATGCACGCTGCTGTGAAGACCCGCTGCTTTATGACCGGGAATTTAAGTACGACGAGCCGATATCACACACCTTCAGACTCCTTGAGCTCGTCTTTGTGAAATACGGCAGCCTGTTTCTTCAGTCCTGCAGTGACTCTTATTTCTACTTTCAGCTCTCACGTGTGTGTGTGTGTGTGTGTGTGTGTGTGTGTGGAGAGAAGCCACGGCGTACACTGGAAATTGAGATGTACAGTACAGACCTTGTGTCTTTAGTTGGTATATTGCATTCCATGCCTGGGGCTCCTGCCAAGAAACAGATGGTGAATGTTAAGTGCTTTTATTATAAACACTTGTGGATTATTTGTTAATTTCAGATTCAGTCACATTTTTTCAGAGGTTGTGTTATTGTGATATTCTATACAGAGCTGCAGCATCGGGGGTGTTTGCTGTAATTTAATGAGAGCACTTTTTTATCCAGGTTTTTTTGTTGAATGTGGAAAATGCCTCGTTTTCCTTTTCATTAGATCGATTTTTAACTGTGATATTCTGGAAAATCATCACGCACTCAACATCCACAGTACACTCCTAGAGTCCTACACCTTCTTCCTTCTATTGTATCATATGCCTTTATTCAGCTCCAAGGCCCCTCTATTGTTGATACATTGCCGTGAACATTTGTATTATCCGCAGCCGATGAAGTACCAAGGTACTGAATTCTGCTCAAATATGCCATTTAAACATGAGTCGGGAGGGAAAACACCTACCTACACTATAGAAACGTTGTTCATTCATGACTGGAGGTGTTGCTGGAACACTTACATCCACCTTAGGGTGCCATTCAGAACACTAAGGACGCTCACCGGTAAGGGTGTCGAGTTTAAGGACGTGTGGTTTATAACAAGAACAAATACAAAGATATTCAAGTAAGCAGATGTACATAACTTAAGTGGGTTATTACCAGAAGTACAAATGACATATGCGTTCTGGTTAGTAGTGCACATATGCTTCATACACCTAATCAACAAATATACAATGAAGTTGTATTAATTAAAGACAGAAGACCGACACCCCTTTGAGTTGCAATGCAAACAGACTTTCCATTTAGAGACCGTAATGCCCACAATCGCCTAAACTAGCATTGGAAAGCATTGAAAAGACCGGAAAGTTGTATTTTTCTACATGTCAATGGAAGCAGCATCCCAGTATAACAACAGCACATTGGCCTGTTGAGATAATATCTCGTAATATAGTCTTTAATGGCAAAACTAATTTCCCTCCTCATTACATATTTATAACGTTGTTTGGTTAAGGATGGTTTCATAGACATTTATTTGTCAGATAAGATGTAAAACTTCGTATTTATTTAAATTACAGGATTTCTAGGAGGTTTATTTGGTTAACTTAATGTAATTGTACTTGCTCAGATTCATGTTGTACATCCTTCATCTTGCCTGTTGGGGAATTCGTCCCGCTCTCCAGTGCAATAGAAACGCAGCCTATTGAAAGGATATATTGTATTTTTTATGATTATATATGTGCATGTGAGGCCCATTCTTTCTGCCCCATCCATAAACATAAACAAGAATCAGCAGCATGATTATTCTTTGTTTGTTGGAGAGAGATATAGGTAGGTAGGATTTTACCCAAATATTGCAGCACAAATGCATTGCAAAACATTTGCCCTATAGCTATTGATTTAAATGTGAAAAGATTTGTTTATTTCCATTTAATACCCTTTCTTTTCTTACAGCTGGAAAAAATTGAAGATAAACTTTTTTAGACACAGGGAATTAAGAGAGACAAACACTTACACTAAGTCCAATTCCTCAGACTAAAGCCGACCCTGCTTTACACAAAGTCAAGTACTTTCAAATTAAAATGCGCGTTATCATCCAGGTTCTGATTAGCTCTGTTGGCACGGTGTTTGCACTCTTTATGTGCATCAATGTGAGCTCAAACCCTGATTTATGTTACTGTGTTGTTGTTTTTAAAATCACAAACCTCATACTTGACTTCAGTCGTACATTCTGTAGCTTGTCCAGTAAAAAAATGAAAACACTCAGAGAGCTAGTTTTTTTTTTTTTTTTTTTCAATCCAAGTACAAGTGACAGAAATGGCAAATATAAACCAGTCGGCGAGATTACAAATATGAAGTTATGATGTGTTGATAACCAAGGACATAGTTAATAGTCAGGTTCGAATGTAAAGACTGATAGATGTTTTGATGCATGAATAAGTATAGACTCTTGAATACTGTGACATTGACCTGCGTACTTCATCTTTCTGCTGGCTTCCTCTCACCCACGTCAGCCTTCCTCCTTCCTCCTCCTCCTTCCTTTTGTTTGCCGGTTAAGGGCCACAGCCAAAGATTCCCAGTCGATCCAGGACCGCCTGCTCAGTAGTGTCGCGGTGTGCTTTGATGTAAGCAGTTCTTTATGGAGGCATTACATTTGATTGATGTGGAAACGTCTGATGGTACACTCTGTTCACAGATATTTATTTGTGAGTCAATGATGCACACTCTCGGGGGAGCGCTGCGGCGCTGCTCAACAGCCCCTCAGCCACTGAGCCGGTGATGACTTCTGCTTTATGCTGCAGCCCAAAAAACTCCTACGTCTGCACTTTTTTTCTGGCCCATGTGCTTATCACTTTCTAACTGCCCATCAATCACGGTCATGAAATTAGAAGGAAATAAACAAAGTTTATTCATTTTGAGAGAAAAGCATGCACTGATATGACCTGTGACTGCGTTAGTCAGGGTTCTTGTTTCCCACTGAGGTAACAACTAAAAAAAGTTCTTCTTATTGGGAAATCCTTCAAGAAAAATATAGCCGTGACTTATTAATTCAACATATTTAATTAAATAACTCGGTCAAGCAGAATAATACATCATGATATATAGCCGCTCCGTTCACCTGTAGTTCAATCGCTGCTATTTAGTTTGACGGGCGGAACAATAGAACATTTAAAAATAACTATGCTGGTGTTGACGTTGAGGGCAAAACGTTTAATATACAAAAGATCTTACCGCAGCCGGTCGCTTGATTTAAAAACCTAATCAACGAGGTTGTTACGATCCACAAACTGACAAGATCCGCGAGGTGAACCAAATGTGAAGGAGACGCCAACGTGGGTACGACACCTGGGTCATCTTCTTATGCACCTATGGTTTCCTTATACACAAGCGCTTCCCTGGGGCTCCTCCGTTCATCTGAAATGCAGGGCGGGAATGTTCTGACCTTGGTCTTATACACAGTAACGCACACGCACACAGACAAGCTGACACACACACACGTACACATATAAGCTGACACACACACACACACACGTACACATACAAGCTGACACACACAGTGGATGCACATACATATTCACACCGTGACAAATCCATGCACTCTGCCTCTCCATCGCTCTCCCTCATCAACATTCTCTCACACACACACACACACACACACACACAGCCGTACACAATCGGCCGGCCTCGTCCATCTGAATTAGCACTAATAAGCAGGTGAATTGTCAGTGGAGGGTGAGCTATTTGCACTGACCTTGGCTCACTGTGATTTGCAGTGAGGGTCAGGCGCTCAGGCAAGTAGGAATAAGTGGACTGTGTGTGAGCACATCTTCTTTTTTTGTGAACAAATCAACACAAGAAAGGAAAGAAAAAAATCACGATTCACAAGTCTCCCCCCCCCCCCCCCCCCCCCCGGACGAGTCCATCCGATTAGATTTGGAGGTAACTGGCTGCATACGTCTTCATCTCCATGAGGTGGAACTCCTCTTCCAACGGCTCCCACCATATTGCTTTTCAGCTACGCCACCCGTGTGTCCTGTGACAACGTGTTGACAGAGACATATTTGCTAATTAGCTGCACTAATGGACTCATTCGCATCGCTGGGTGTGTTAAAGACATTGCGGTAAACAGCCACAGCTCAAGTGTGCAGAAAATATCAGCTAAAAACTGTGGATGTTAGCGAAACACCAAGATGTCCTTGAAATGGTTTTATTGCAAAGAGGAGATGCGAGAGGTGATGGTTTCCCGTTTGTAGTAAAGGGTTGATTATTCTCATCTCCATTACTTTACACAATTATATCATGATTCATGAAAGAGAGTGTTCACAGCACTACTCTCCAACGCTTTCTTATCTATAGCGGTCGTCTTGAGATCTACGTTACTATGGACTGTGACTACATCTAGTCTGTAATTACTATAAACCCCACAGTGGCGTATTATCACCTTTCAGTAAACAGTTGTGCCTCTTTATGCAGCCAGTAGACACAGAGACAAATTGTGTCCACCTGGCAAATGTAATTCCAAGTCCTACTCTTGTTTTCCCACCAGCTCCTGAGGGAAATATACGTCTCTTCAACGACTAAATGCTCCGCTATGTTCACCGGCTGCTCGGTAACTTTCTCTGTTATTTGGTGCTGGGCAGGTAGCGGCTTTTAGAGCTTCCTCTGCTGAAGACAGTACTCACTCATTTATTGATTATTATACTTTAATTTATTTTTTTATTTATTTTCAGATTTCAAATCATTTTCCCACTATGCCCCCTTCCTATTATTATTATCATTATTATTATTAATAGTAGTATTATAATATAAATTTGTTTTTAATTTTGTCTCTTCTCCATCAGCCACAAATGTGCACGCACCCATACGCATACACTACACAACAACCCTTAGAAACAACAGCTGGTTTGCATATTTGTAATAACAATAATATTGTTATCTATCTATATATCCATCTGTTTGTTTTGCTTTGTCTGTCTCATCTATACCTGTCTGTTTCTGTCTCTTCCTATGTGTTGAATGTCACTACCCCTGTTTTGTGTACTGCCCTTTACACTAATTACAAAAAGGAAAGAAGAACAGTACAGCTGCAGGCTGGAAAAAAACAATCATTTCTTTCTTTTATGAATATTGACTATAGCCGCTTTAATTACCCATTATATTCTATCTCCCAATGTTTATCAGCCACAGTCTGAGGACGAGTTCCACGAATTTCACGAAACTCCATATTTAGTTGTTCTAGGACTTATCGTCTCTGAGGTAGTGACAGTTTTAACTCAGATCAGGGAGGAGGACAAGGAAGCTTTTAAAAAAAATGAAGAAAAACAAATGGTGCCAACCCTTATGGTGCTTGGACCCCTAAAAGAAAATCAATCACAGAGAATGGTGAGGTAGAGAACAGTCTGTCGGCTTGGCTCTATGTATGTATGTAAGTGTGTGTAAAACAAGATAAACTGCCGAGTTGATAAAAAGTCAGCACTAAATGAATCCATTTTGGAATGAGAATGCATCTGGAACAAAGATAAAAGAAGACAGAACTTGCCTGCTTGTACAAGTGACACAAATATTAAAGAGATCCTCACTGGTGGGAGCTCCTCTGGCAGAAGTTTGACTTGGAAAGTAGTTTAGACTCTCAAGTTATCAGTAAAATACACTTTTGCTATGAAAAACATTGGAAGGTCAACTGATAAAGGGTTTACGATCGGTGGACGAACCTCTGAAGGTCTAACTTTCCTTTATTCATCAATCTTGTTAGATAAGCAGGAAGTCACGTTAAGTATCGTTTCTTTTTCAAGTGAAGTTCACTGCTGACCTGGAACTGATTTCATCAGAACTAGGTCGGCTTGTCCACTAAATATGACCGTTTAAAGATTGAATGTGAGAATCCAGGATGTTACATTTGTATTTTTGTTGTTGTAAAGGTTGGACAATATAACTAAAAGGGAGGTTATGATAGGTGCACTTCTTTAAATGTTTGGTAGGAACGGATGACATTTTTGTGAATATTGCTCCGGTGTGAAACGGTGTCCATTCAAAAAGGTGAATTTGCTGAAAACTGCTACAGGACTTCCTGGGGGAAGTGAACACAACACACCTGAGAGTGAAACTCCTGATAATCCCTACGTCTTTCTTTCTTCCCTTATGTAACATATCTGTCTCCTCCCCCTTTCTTCTCTCAGAGTGAGGACCTTCCCTAAGGATTCGGCCGTACTGGGCAGGGACACTGTCCGGGCCCTGATGTACTACGCCCTGAAGGTCTGGAGTGACATCGCACCGCTCAACTTCCATGAAGTGGCCGGCAGCGATGCAGACATTCAGATCGACTTCACTAAGGCCGACCACGACGACGGATATCCCTTTGACGGGCCAGGGGGCACGGTGGCGCACGCATTTTTCCCCGGAGAGAGGTTCACAGCTGGGGATACACACTTCGATGATGACGAGGCCTGGACCTTCAGATCTCCAGGTGAGGAACCTTCACTATTAATTGGTAAAAGACGATGGGGCAGATTGGATATAGAGTTATATTTTTAAGAAACATCTAACCAAAGCACTTCTTAGAGACTCCAAAAGCATGAGAAAATGAGACTGGAACAGTCGGTGTCGAGGAAACTGAGAGAAAATTAGAAAGAGGCTGAAAACTATTTTGAACTTCCGTGCTCACCAAGACTTCTATATCCAAAACTAGAACGCTGACTGCATTTTTGCAGCCAAGCTGTGCTTCTCCCCTTTGTTCATGCTCCAGATTCTATAATTAATATTTAATTGGTTTGAACTATGAATATAACATACAATGGTTCAGACACGGGACTCGGAGCAGTGACTAAAGTAGTAGTGGTTGTTATCACAAGCTTATTAGGAGGCATACAAGGTGGCCTTTCACTTCCTACAGCTGCCATAAACAATCCACTCTAATCAGCCTCTGGTACCCATGAGTTCTTGTTTTTAGCAATCCTCCAAAAAAAAAATATTTGAAGTTTACAGTTTGTTTATGTTTTTGATCCCACTTGGTTGTTAAATTATGCCAAGAATAGAGTGATTTTAATTTCTTAACGGATGATTGGGAAGAAAATAAAGAGACAAACGCACCATATTGGGAGTGATTAATGTATTGTTACCTGACGACTAAATGTTTCTTTTGATTTACGGGCAAGAAAAAGCTGAAAGGCATGCAAAGGCCTCTACTTGGCTTCAAAATACGACTGACAATCGATAAAAAAGTGATTTCGACACAATGTCACATGGGATTTATGGGGTTGGGTTTTCCCGTCCCTATGCTAAGCTAAGTCAGCTAGCTGTAGCTTCATAATTAGCGTACATTATTTGAGTGGTAGAACTCCTCTCATCTCACTCTGTGCAAGAAAGCCATAGAAAGGTATCTCCGGAAATGTCAAACTGTTTCTTTATAAAGGACCTGATTCTCCCACCACTGGGGAAGTTATCACTTATTAATAGCTCATGCAGATCAGGAACTTCTCAGTTCACTAGAAAAAGAAAAGTGCTTATGCGTGATCCCTTGATTTTAGAAAGATAAGACACGACTCTTCCTGGCACACACACTCCTCAGGATGCTGACTAAAACCTCAGGCTGAAAAATAAGCTCCTCGGGGGGCAACAACCTCGCTGTGTTGTCCTACCCCCCTCCCCCCCAGAGATGGAGCTTAAAAGCTTGCAGCCGGGGTCTAGATGGCACTGACCGATCCAGCTGGTGAGTCTATGATGCAACCAGGACCTGTGTCCATTTCTGTTCATTTCCTTTTGCCCTGCAAAGCTGTGAACCATATGTCACTGCAGCTCAGTCTGCTCCAATTAGACCTCACAGTGGCAGGACACGACGCCACGGCGCTGTAGTTTACAGAGTAATCTGCATAGATTGCGGGTACGGTTAATGGGAGCAGGGCAGTGAAAGAGGGAGGGGGAGGGGGGGTTAGAGGTGTGTCGCCAACGAACGCCAACTATTTCTCTCTTCCAAAATCAAAATGTTCAGCATAGTGAGAAACTCAGAAATAAAGCGAAGAAAATTCTCTAATGCGAAGAATTATGTTTCCAATCTTAAACGGTTTGTTGGAAGTGTCGGATGGAAGGCGACCTTCACTGTGAGCGAGAACGTACCTTGTTAGATGTTCCTGCTTTCAAGGTTACTTTCAACACTTGAAAGGCAAAATGTACATCAAATAATACCACATCAGACTTTGTCACTTGTAAAACAGGCGTCTGCCTCCTCCTCACTTCCTCCTGCACTCTGTAAAAGGCACTTCAGCCCCCCTCCCCCCCTCTGTTTTGTCATCGCCAATCGATGCCAGTAAAAACACGCTGCCACTGTATACTGCTGCCTTTGATTTTGTAACATTCTTTTAGAACAAGATTAGGGTTTATGCGAGTTTAGATATTGACAGTACAATAGAGACACCGTTATTTGTATGCTACAAAAGCAAGATATTGATCCCCAGCTTGAAGGTTTGCCCTTGTGATCTTTGTCATAGTCTTACTCTGAGTCTGTCTATTCAAACACCTTTCGGGACTTACCTCAAGACCAAGGTCCTTCATGAAAATATATAAAGGATAATAGCTCTCCAATCAACTCTAAAACAATGCGGTATTTAAAAGCATTAAGCACTAAGAATGCTCTTTTCTGTTTATCTCCCTCTCAGCTAAATTCTCCACCATGATAGTCGCTAACTCTGTCAGAGTGCTGCTTGGCGCTGGGCAGTTAGTGTACAGTCGATGTTTTTTACAGATGTTTCATGAGGAAGGCAATGTATTTAACACCTGACCTCAAGGAAACACTCGATGCATTTTAGTATTGATTTCACATTTCTGAAAATGTATTCATTAATTCTAGAGCCGTCAACCCACTAAATTCACAAAAGGAGTCGATGCAGACTTCCATTGCTCTTAATTAATTTTCCACACAACAGAATAGCTCTTTGTATCCACTTATACTGAGGCAGGCTAAAATCACAGAGAGGGGAAGTATCTCTGAACACATACAAGCTAGCTTAGAGGGTAAAGTTACATTTATTAAATGGCCGATACACTGGCATGGGGGATATTATCTGCTGATCTCCCAGTGGATACAGCAGTAGGACAGGAATGCCAAAAATACGATTGAGGTCATTTGGAAACAGGGCCGCCATTACATAGTTTTATTGGAGTTTTTATATAGAGCAGGTCTAAACCATGCTATTTAATTTACAATGACCCAACATTTCCCCATGAACAAGCATTTGGCAGTGGCAGCAAGGAAGTGAGATCCAGAAACACATCTGCAGTTCCCTCTTATCGCCCTGAATGCTGCCAAAGAGGACGAAAGGGAGCTCTTGGAGATTGTAACTGTAAGGTACCATAACTCCTCAACATATGAGTGAGATTTAATTCCAATTTTCGTTTCTTGGAGCCTAGACGGATCAATAGACTTTGATAAAGGTCTAATTTTCATTTCTCTGGACACATTTTTATATATATTTCCTGAGCTGCACTGGAGCATGGCATACAATTAGGCATTCACTGTACTTCCTAATAATCTAGTGTATGTATTGGTTATAGCATCCTCACTCTAAGGTTAAAAAAAAAAAAAGAAATGCAGGTAAGAAATATGTGGTTCAACTGTAGCCGCAGATGTTACCAGAATTGATTTTTAGGGAGCATGGGAAATAATTTCAGTCTCACAAAAACGATTGACCACTACAGCAGTTCTTCTGCTTGAACAATTATTCCATTAAAATCGAGACGCGCTTAATGTTTATCCTCAGCCATTTGCACTATGTTAAACTCTTAGAATCAATGTTTGTCTCAGGTTTAATTCATTCTAAAATGTTCTCCGTCAGTTTAAGCTGCCATCTCTCACATCGCGTCGCAAGAGTGCACATTTGACTTTGCCGTGACTGCGCTCGACTCATATCAGGCTTTGTTTCATCTTTTAAACGATTGAAATCCAACATATTTCCAGAGCTATGATTCAAACGTAGGAAATCAAATGACCCGCGTAGAAATATTAATTCTTGAGTGGCGCGAGGTAATGAACGGTGACAGTACTGAAGAGGATAGCGGATAGTTGTGCTTGTACTTCTTTCCATCTACCGTATGCTACACCGTCCTTATTAAAGTTTTAGTTAAATGCTGCAGGCTATGTTTGCAGCATTCCGGATACATCACGCTATACAGCCAATGCAGAGGTACCGCTGAATTTATTGCTACTGTGCGTCTTAAGAAGGCCTGAAAACCGATCTGTTGGTTGGATATATGTTACTGATCAGTAAAAACAGTTTACTCTGAACCTCCCTTTCTCCCTTTCTTTCCTGCCCTCTCTCTCTCTCTCTCTCTCTCTCTCTCTCTCTCTCTCTCTCTCTC